TTGGGTTTGCACCGTGAGCAGAGCACACAGGTACTGATACATATCAATTGGTATCAGAGCATCTACGATTCATTTTTTCGCTGTTGATGGCTGATCCAGCAAAGACCAACAAGGTTCGTTTGGAGCAACTTGAAGAAGCTGTTTCTGACTTACATCTCACTATGCAAGAGATGAGTGTAACGAATCAGTCCATTCTCCGGGAGTTGCATAAATCCAACACCCGTTTGTTGAGTCACAACGATCGTCGTCATAAAGGGCTTCATCGTAAGTCTTCCACAAGGTCACTATCATCTTCTTTGAACTCTGAGGATTTCGAGCAAGATGATTCTGTTGGGGGTGACAGTGAAATATCTTTTTCCTCTTAAGCATCTGATACAGGTTCAGAGGAGGGTAACGCCAAGGAGAAAGAGAAGAACCAAACCCTACGAAAGCATTCTCGGGTGAAACTTGATTTTCCACGATTTGCAGGAGAAGACCCCACTGTTTGGCTCGATCGTGCGAAGTAGTATTTTTCTACTCAAGAGATTCAGGATAAGAAGAAGGTGGTGTTAGCTTCTTTTCATTTAGAAGGTGAGGCAAATCAATGGTGGAAATGGTACAATCGTTCCCACTATGGGAAGACCATTTCATGGCGTCAGTTTGAGGAAGGAATTCTCTGTCGTTTTGGGCCAACAAATTTTGAAGATTATGATGAAGAACTCAGTAAGATTTCACAAACATGTTCTTTTCGGGCATATTTGCAGGAGTTTGAGAAGTTGGCTAACCGAGTGACGGGGTGGCTAAAGAAGCCCTTCTTGGTGCTTTTATGGGTGGACTAAAGGCAGAAATAGCAGTTGAGGTGCGAATGTTTAGACCAAAGAGTTTACAAAGGGCTATAGACTTGGCTAAACATCAAGATGAGAAGTTGCAGAAAACGAAAAAGGTTGTTAGAAATTTTCATAATACTAACCATATTCCTAGTCCTACAATTCCAACTACGTCCAATCCTATGCCAGTTAGTGTAAAACCTTTACCAACTTCGGCAGTGAAGCGTTTAACATTTGAGGAGATGAAAGCGAAGCGTGAGAAGAATCTTTGTTTTAACTGTGATGAAAAATTTACCCCTGGCCATAGGTGTCAAGCTCAGACATGTTTAATTGAGGCAGAAATTCCGTTGGCATCAAAAGCTGAAGGTGAAAAAGAAGTGGTGGCTATAGACTCCCCAACCGATCCCCTTATTTCTTTGCATGCTTTATCAGGGAGTTTGGGCAATCGTACCATGCGGGTTTGAGCTGTGATTCATCACCAAGAACTTAATGCGTTAATAGATAGTGGTTCAAGCCATAATTTCATCAACCAATCGGTGGTCAGCCGATTAAATCTGGCGGTTACTCCTATTACTCCATTTTGTGTTCGAATTGCTAGCGTTGATAAACTAGAGTGCCATGCAAGATATGATAAGGTCCCAATTTCAATCCAAGGATTTGACTTTGAAACTACATTATTCGGACTTCCTATCCGGGGTTTGGATCTTGTCTTGGGTTATCAGTGGCTTGAAGGGTTGGGATATGTGGGACATAATTATGCACGGCGGTCTATGCAATTTACAGTGGACAATAAAAAATATCACATTAAGGCTGAATCAGTTGGGCCTTCGAGGGTGGTCGATGCTAATTTGTTATTGCAAGAATGGAAACAGGGTGCTGAGATGTTCTGTCTAACGGCTATTGAGGGTGAAGACGAATTTCAATAATCTAGTATACCAGTTGTTGCCAATGAAATCAAGCATCTACTAACAGAATATTCCCAAGTTTTGGAGACCCCAAAAACATTGCCTCCAATACGTGAATGTGATCATCGAATTTTGTTAAAGGATGAGTCTACTCTTGTGAATGTGGCTCCTTATCGTTATGCCCATTTCCAAAAAAATGAGATCGAATGTCAAGTTGAGGAAATGTTAGCAACAGGGTTGATACGACCAAGTACGAGTCCTTTTTCTTCGCCAGTTTTGCTCGTAAAAAAAAAAGATGGTACATGGCGGTTTTGTACAGATTATCGAGCTCTAAATGAGGCGACTATCAAAGATCGTTTTCCAATCCCAACCATTGAGGATATGTTGGATGAGTTGTTTGGTGCGGCTTATTTCTCCAAACTTGATTTATGAGCGGGTTATCACCAAATTCGTGTTCATCCTAACGATGTTCACAAAACGGCGTTTCGGACTCATCATGGCTATTTTGAATATTTGGTAATGCCCTTCGGATTGTGCAATGCGCCTTCGACATTTCAAGCCGTAATGAATTCCTTTTTTAAGGTGCACTTACGTCACTTCATCTTAGTTTTTTTTTGATGATATCTTAATTTATAGTGAATCCTGGGTGGATCATCTTGCACATCTTCGGATTACATTGGATATATTGGTTGCACACTCTTTTTATATAAAGCCATCGAAGTGTATTTTTGGCCAAATTGAAGTCGAGTATCTCGGTCATATTATTACCACGAAGGGTGTGAAAGTTGATCACCGAAAAATTGAAGCTATGATTCATTGGCCACGACCAAGACAGTGACTGCGTTGCGGGGCTTTCTTGGCCTTACCGAATATTATCGTAAGTTTGTGCGACATTATGGTCTTATTGCTCGGCCATTAACTCAGTTGTTAAAGAAAGGGCAGTTCACATGGAATGATGAAGCCGAAGATGCTTTTAATAATTTAAAAAATGCTATGACTTCTACGCTAGTTTTGGCACTTCCTAATTTTTTGGAAGACTTTATAATTGAAACAGATGCTTCTGGATTGGGTGTGGGCGCGGTACTTTCTCAGAATGGCAAACCGATTGCTTTCCTTAGCAAGGCAATAGGTCCTGCAAAATTAGCGTGGTCTACGTATGAAAAAGAGATGTTGGCTATTTTGGAGGCAATTAAGTTATGGAGGCCATATTTGTTAGAAAGAAAGTTTAAAATTTGCACTGATCAACGAAGTTTGCGCTATTTGCTTGAGCAGCGTATTACTACTCCTGAGCAACAAAAATGGATAGCTAAACTTTTGAGATTTAATTACGAGATTATTTATAAACCGGGGAGAGAAAATAATTCGGCGGATGCACTATCTCGTGGTGGGTGGGATCCTGAACTACATGCCATCTCTGGTCCTATTTGGGAAGTTTGGCGTGAATTAAAGGCTGCTACCCAACATGATTCAGTTTTGGGTCCTATTATGCAGCAACTAAAAAATGATCCATTATCTGTGGAGGGCCACGTATTGAAGGATGGTTGTATCATGCATGCAAGGCAAATCATGGTGCCTGATTCTCTAACTCTTAAGCAATCTCTTTTACATGAGTTTCATGACAGCCTAGTGGGTGGGCATGCTGGCCTTCTTCGCACCTATAAACGTTTGTCTCTTATTTTTAATTGGAGGGGTATGAAACGAGATGTCAAATTACATGTCCAACAGTGCGATTCTTGTCAGCGCAACAAATATGATACCTGCTCTCCTGCTGGCCTACTTGACCTATTGAGTCTTCCTTCGGGTGTATGGACTAACGTGTCAATGGATTTTATCGTTGGTCTCCCTAAGTCAACCGGCAAAGATGCTATTTTTGTAGTTGTTGATCGCCTCACAAAGTATGCCCATTTCATTGCTCTTGCCCATCCTTACAGCGCTAGGGATGCAGCCGATGCTTTTGTTAGAAATATCATCAAGCTTCACGGCATTCCTACATCCGTCGTTTGCGATCGTGATTGAATTTTCATGAGTCACTTTTGGCGAGAACTTTTCCGATTGCAAGGTACAACATTGTGCACCAGTTTGGCTTATCACCCTGAGACGGACGGCCAGACCGAAGTTGTCAATCGATGTTTAGAACAATATCTCTGTTGCTTTGTTCATGCAACGCCGAAACGTTGGGAAGCTTACCTTGCGTGGGCTGAATTTTCATATAACACTTCTTTCCATAGCTCCATTCACATGACGCCCTTTGAAGTGTTATATGGTCGTCCACCACCCATTTTGAATTCATATGTTCCAGGTTCTACCGCCGTAGTTGAGATTGACAGCACTTTACTTTCTAGAGATGGCATTCTTCGCCAACTCAAAGTTAACTTGGACATTACTCGCAATCGGATGAAGCAACAGGCTGATAAAAGGTGACGTGAAGAAGTCTTTTCAGTGGGAGATTGGGTTTATTTAAAATTATAGCCGTATCGCCAACACTCTGTTCTTAAACGTCCGTATCAAAAGTCGGCCAGCAAGTTTTTCGGTCCTTATCAAATTATTGAACGTGTTGGTAATGTTGCTTATCGACTTCAATTACCTGTTAAGGCCAAAATCCATCCTGTCTTTCACGTTGCTCTCTTGAAGCGCCGACTAGGGGACCATGGGGTTGTGCAACCAACTTTACCTCCATATGCTGATGATGGTTTACCATTGTTACAACCAGCTACTGTTTTGGGTGAACGATGGGTTCAAAGTGCGAGTGGCAGAGTAAGGGAGGTGTTAATTCGTTGGACTACATTACTTGAAGAGGATGCTATGTGGGAGCCCATTTCTACTATTAAAGAGCAGTTTCCAAACTTCAACCTTAAGGACAAGGTTATTCTCACAGGGGGGGTGAATGATACGAATATAGAAGAGGTCATGGCATCACGTAGAAGAAGCATAAGAATCTGTAAACCGAATATTAAGTTGGCCGATTACGTTGCTTGATTCACGGGATTTGATCTCATTATCATTTATTGTTTTACTGGCTATTATCAGGCTATTATCAGACTTTTGTCTGCTACTTTTATTTGCTTGGTTGTTTGTCTTTTGTAATTAATGTTTTTCATTATTATGGGACATGTATGTTTCCCAGGTTGTACATAGTTGCCTATATGTAACCATGAGTTGTTTTGAAAGGGGGAAGAGTTTTTTGCAAACACTTGTTTGGTCTTCTCAATACTGTGAATTGAGAGTGGGTTGGTTCTGCACCGTGAGCAGAGCACACAGGTACTGATACATATCATGCTTGGATGAACTTGCAAAGATTATTGAATGCAAGAATATGAATGGCCAAATGGTTATACCCATTTTCTACCATGTAAATCCATCAGATGTGCGGAAGCAAACCGGAAATTTTGAGAATGCTTTTGTCAAACACGAAAAATGTTTCAAGGAGTTGACGAAAAAAATTCAGAGGTGGAAGGATGCTTTGACTGAAGCATCTAATCTATCCGGATGGGATTCAATGGTGATTAGGTAAGTTCAACTTTTGATTTCAATATACTAAAATATTTTATTTATGTATTCCTTTTATAGAAAAAATGGTATAGTTTTAGTCGTGATGACAAATCTCAAATATATATTTTTATAGTACTTGTTTCTATATTATATTATTTGCTTATGTTATGTTATGTTATGTTAACTTTAACATAATATTTCTCTTCTGGTTCACGTATGGTAGGTAGACCTGGCAAAATGGGCGGGTGGGCCGGGTACGGGTCTGGGTCTTAAGGGTACGGGTCTGGGTCTTAAGGGTACGGGTCTCACAGGTACGGGTCGATTTAAACGGGTCCAATATTTTAGACTCACACCCTACCCTATGCGGGTATGGGTGGACCCGCGGGTGCCCGTACTGTTCACACAAGTTTTAGATTTTTGCAGTTACACCCCAAATCTTCCTAAAATATAAACCCAAGTTTTCTCACCAACCAAACAGAAACCCAGAACCTAACTTTATCGATTCTCCTTTCATTCCTCATCAACCAAATAAACCCACATAAAAAAAAATCTAAAAAACGAAAAAATCTACATAAGAAAAAGCAATAGAAGAAAAGAGAAAAGAACTTTGTTGATTGTCCTTGATGCGCCGACAGTGTAGAGTACAAATGTGGCTAATGACTGATGAGAAACGAAGACAGGAGAAGCGACGACGATGGAGTTAGGGATTTCGGTGACTATGAGTTTAAGAGGAGGTTGATGAGAGACAAGAGAGTGAGTTTGAGTTAGGGCTTTTGCAATTTGGGGCAAAAACATGGGGATGGGATCACTTTAAGAATGGTCTTAAAATTCTCTGAATCTTTGGCTGAAGTTGTAACTGAAGGAGAAGCAACCTGAGAAGCTTCCACAAGCTTTCTTGAAAGTTGGCGGCCTCGATGGAGCTTCCATTAACAGCGATAAGTCTGTATTTGGTAGCGAATCAAAATCGAATTTTTATTTAATTTGATCAAAACTACGAAATAAGCTTTTGATATTTAATGGATGATCCCTCGTCTTTTGTTTGTAGCCCTCTTTGTCTTGTTCTTGTTAACTCCCTCACGCTTCTTATCATCTTCTTCCTCAACTTTCCCACTTCCTTTTTCATCAGTTCACCACCCATTTGGATTCCTCTTATCATCTTCTTCCTTAGCTTTCCCACTTTCTTTTTCATCAGTTCACCACCCATTTGGATTCCTCAATTTTTAATTAGGGAATCCTTGCAAAATGAAAAGGGGAAAGGTATTTTTTTTTTTTAAAAACAAACGGGCACCCGCGGGCACCTACGGGGGTACCCGTTTGACCCATTGGTAAAACCGGTTGGGCTGGGTACGGGTAGAAGAAAAATGGGTCCAATATTAAAGACCCACACCCTACATTTTTTACCTGGGTTTGGGGTCGACTTGTGGGTCCAGACCCATTTTGCCAGGTCTAATGGTAGGCCTGATTCCAAACTAGTAGAGGAAACTGTCAAAGATGTTTTGAAGAAATTGAATTATAGATCGCCCTCAAGTCATTGGAAAGATCTGGTGGGAATAGATTCACACATCGAGGAAGTTGTATCATTATTATGCATTGGGAAATTAGATTTTCGAGTTGTAGGAATTTGGGGAATGGGCGGTATAGGTAAGACAACCATTGTCGAAGCTGTTTTTAGAGAAATTTCTAGTCATTTTGAAGGTTGCTCTTTCATTGCAAATGTTGGCGAAGAATCAGAAAAATGTGGTGGACTAGTTCAATTACGAGAACAAATTCTTTCTTCAATTTTAGAAGAAGAAAATCTTCAGATTGGCATCGCCTATAATATACCTCAATTTATGAAGCACATAATTCAATGCAAAAAGGTTTTCATTATTCTTGATGAAGTTAATGATATTGAGCATTTAGCAGTTTTAACCAGAGGGCTTGATGGATTTGGTCTAGGCAGTAGAGTCATTATAACCACTAGAGACAAACAAGTGCTTCGTAATTATGGAGTTGAACACATATATGAAGTCAAGGGATATTATGACTATGAAGCTCTTCAAATCTTCTCTAATTGTGCATTGAAACAAAACCGTCCCCTTGAAGATTTTAGGGTGCTCTCAAAGGAGATAATTGATTATTGCAAGAGCAATCCATTAGCTCTTAAAGTGTTGGGCTCCTCACTATATCGAAGGAGTAAACGAGATTGGCAAAGTGCTTTGGGTAAATTGAAAAGAATTTCTAATCCAAAAATTCACAATGTGTTGAAAATCAGCTATGATGGACTAGATGATGAAGAAAAAAACATATTTCTAGAAATTGCTTGTTTTATTAAAAGGTGGGACATCAATTATGTAATAGATATACTAAGCAGGTATTACACATCTCCATATTTTGGACTAAATGTTCTCCTTGATAAGTCACTTGTAACAAAATCACGCAACCTATTAGACATGCATGATTTACTTCAAGAAATGGGTTGGGAAATTGTACACCAAGAATCGTTGAAAGAGCCTGGCAACCGTAGTAGGTTATGGTATCACGAGGATGTCTTCCATGTACTGAAGAACAATACAGTAAGCCAAATTATAATATTAAGTTTGTTTTCCAAATAAGAATAAGGCCACAAAAATTATCTTCGCTTCAAAAATCAAAATTAAGATCTTAGGTAACATATCTTTTCTTTTGGTTTGAAGGGAACCCATACGGTCGAAGGAATGTGCTTAGATATGAATAAAATCAGAGATGTGAATCTAAGTTCCAGAGCTTTTGCAAATATGCATAATCTTAGATTTCTTAAATTCTACACCTCTCGACTTTCTGAAGAGCTCGTAAATATATCTAAAGTGCATCTTCCGGAAGAACTAGATTATCTTTCTGAAGAGTTGACGTATCTCCGATGGGATGGATATCCTTTCAAAACTTTGCCGTCAAATTTTAATCCAACAAACCTTCATGAACTTCACTTGCCTTATAGCAATCTTGAGCAACTCTGGGAAGGAACCACGGTACGTATAAATTACTATTCAGTTATTTGCTTCTTACATTCAAATATGAATATAATATTGTGTTCTTTAGAGATTAATTTATTTTGGTCACTTTTTGCATTACAGCATGCCTTCAAGTTAGAGTTGATAGATCTTCATCACTCCCAACGCCTAATAGGGATCCCAGATCTCTTAGACGCCCCATTGCTTGAGATTATAAATCTTGAATGTTGCAAAAGCTTGCTTGATGTTCCTTCATCTATCCAATATCTCGACAATCTTCATGTGAAAGTCTGAGGAACTTTTCGATGAACATTCACTTTAAATCTCTCAAAACTCTCCGTCTCTCAGACTGCATTAATCTCACAAAGTTTCCAAAGATTTCAGGGGATCGTATAGAAAAATTAGATTTCTCTGGATCTGCAATAGAAGAAGTTCCGTCATCTATCCAGTATATCAAAAGCCAACGCGTTGTAATATTGAGGGAGTGTAAAAATCTTAAGACTATTGAAAGCAACATTCACTTCGAATCTCATGTAAATCTTAATCTCTCCTACTGCATTAATCTCACAAAGTTCCCACAAATTTCTGGAAATGTGGTGGATTTAGATTTGTTTGGAACTGCAATAAAAGAGATTCCCTCATCGGTCGATTGTCTAACTGAGCTCCATGCATTATATCTAAGAGATTGTACAAGGCTCAAGAGTATTTCAAGTAGCATTTGCAAATTGAAATCTCTTTCCGAACTAGATCTAAGTGGCTGTAGAAAACTACAGAGTTTCCCGGAAATCCTTGAGAAAATGGAACATTTAGAATATCTTTCTTTATGTAGAGCTACAGTAATTATTGAGCTGCCATCTTCGATTGAAGGTTTAAATGGGCTTCGTCGGTTGAGAATGCGAGATTGCAAAAATCTTGAGACAATTCCAAGTAGCATTTGCAATTTGACATCTCTAATTGAGATTGATGCTTATGGCTGCTTAAAACTCAACAAATTGCCAGAGAACTTAATACATTTGAAGACACTCAACGTAAGAGAAACTGCCATAAGTCAACTGCCATCCTGTATTCCAAGTTGGAAGGGAATTGAATTTTTAGATTGCCCTAATTGTCGAGGTTTGATATTGCCTCAATTGTCATCTTTATGCTCCTTAGAGACGTTATATTTACCTTTCTGCAATCAAACAGAAATCCCTGATGATCTTTGCAATTTGACCTCATTGGAAACATTAGATCTAAGCGGAAACAATTTCAAGAATCTACCATTAGGTATCAAACAACTTTCCCACTTGAATGCCCTATATTTAGGCAATTGCAATATGCTTCAATCAGTACCGGAGCTTCCATTCTCTCTGATATTTTTAGAAGCAAACAATTGCAAGATGCTCTACTCATTACCAGAGCCTCCCTCAAGTCTTAATGAATTAGATGCACCGGAATCGGAAATTTCAAGGACGACAATTGAATTCATATTCACAAACTGTCTGAGTCTGAATCAGAAAGTATACAATAACATTTTAGAGAATATAGCATCACTGAGACTTTGTTATGAAAAGGTTATTCTCTCTCACACTACTCTCTCTCTCTCTCTCTCTCTCTCTCTCTTTACTTATCTGTCTTATAAAAAATAACGAATTTCATGTTACAGTTATATAAACAAACGCCTAAAATCAGCTATTGTATACCTGGGAGTGAAATTCCCAACTGGTTCAGTTTTCAAAGCTCGGGATCTTCAATAATTATTGAACTTCCACAGCATTTGAGTAACAAAAGCTTCATGGGAGTTGCTATATGTGCTGTTATTGCTTTTGAGGAACCATAGTATGGAGATGATCTTGAAGTAAGTTGCGTTTACCATTGTGACACTGATTATGCTTATGAGAATTACTTCTACTGGCATTTGAGCGCTAGGGGCATGAATAAGATGCTGATTGAGTCAGATCACATGGTAGTAGGGTATATACCTTATTCTAGGCTAATTAATGGTCGCCAAACAGCCTCATTTAAGTTCAGTGCAAGCAATTATTTCAGGGACATTTCCATGGAAGGCTGCAAGGTGAAATGTTGTGGGGTTTATCCACTATACATACAGCCAAACATGTCGCAACCCTACATTTCTATGGAGAAATTTGCTGCCACCAGTGAATGTTTAGCGGAAATAAGTGGAAGAGCGATATCTGATGAAGAGGAAGTGCAACCACATCTTAATAGAATTTGCAGAAAACAAATCAACACTCCTTAATAACAAATTTCCTTTCTTCCGTATCATTCAACTTTGTTTGGTTGTTTGCTTCTTCACTGGAGCTATTATGGTTTCTCTGTCAAATTTAATGGTAATTTGCTTGTCACTACTTTCAAGTTCTGTTTTTGACATATGATGATATAACCGCAAGTTCAAGAATGATTATTGACATTTGTTTTGGCCTCTATAACTAAGATATGTATTTTGCTTTGTCGTAATCATTTCAGCTCACTGTTGTTTTGTTCTCTTCACTTTGTTAGGCCTGTGTCAAGAGTTACGGTCAAAATTGTCAGAGAGAATTTTGAAGGAGTTGAATGATACATCGCCTTGGTAACCATTTTGTCAATTGCCTTGGATTTCATGGTAAAAATAAATGGGAAGGTTTGATGTCCCTTAGTTTGTATAATATTTGGTCTATTAACATGTTGAAATTTTAGCAAAAATTTGAGTATAATTAATCCATAGTTAAGTTTAATTTCACAATAGAAATTTTAGATGGTAACTTGATTAGTGTAAATTACTATAAAATTAGTTCTTGTTATTGACTGCACAATTTTCTCTTTTACAATTTAATGTTTTTGTGCTGGCATTTTGTAGTTATTTATGGGTTTTTCTTTAACATAAGGTTGTCAACAGTAGCAGTTGATTTTTTGTCGATTGATCATGTGAACTTGCTTCTAATTTGCAAGTGTGAACAACCACCATGGACACAAGAGAGGTTGTAATAAATTAAGATCTTTGCATCATAATTGTTCTCTTTATTAATGTAGTTATTTTTGGGTGAACCGTGTAATATCAATTGTGTATAGAGTAGTAGTTGACTGTTTTGTGTTAGTTTAACCTTTATTATCTTTTGTATCATTTTGATTTATTAATTAAGTTAATTCAAAGAAGGTCTTGAAGGTAGTTTTTGCGTTTTGTCCATAAAATAATGGACAAAAGTCTCAACTGAGCATAAGTAAACATTGACAACTGTTTCGGGTAGTGGAGCAAACGTTTTTACCACCCAAAGTTTGCCTTAATGACACTTTTTAACCCAAAAAGTTTCAAAATATCACTTTCTCACCCAATGTTTATATTTCGTTAATACTCAAAGTACACTTCATTTTCTCAACCCACATTAGGCGAGTTAATAGGAGTCAAGATAAGAAGGTTTTTATAGAGTGAAGGCCAATGGATCGAATGATGGTGATCGATTGAATTTTAGCCATTGGAATCAGACAAGATTAACTAAGAGCATGAAACTCTAGTTTTCCAGTGGCTGACAATCGACAAGAAATCAGATGTCAAAGTAAGAGAGGTTTTGTAGAGAAGAGACTGGAGGTTCAAATGATGATGACAGAAAAAAATTTTGCCGTCGGAGTTGGCCGGAATCGACTTTGAGTAGTAACAAAATATTAATTTTGGGCTGCAAAACAGTATTTTGAAACTTTTGGATGAGAAAGTGTCATTACGGCAAACCTTGGGTGGGAAAAAGTTGTTTACTTGTTTCAGTGTTATGTCCTACATCCTGTTATTGGGTTAAAGTTTGTTCTCCTCAAATCGAAGAAGGCATAGGGTTTCGTTGCTTGGAGTTTTCATGTATAGATTAGTATTATTTGCAATCAATATGGAAATTACCAACATCATTTTCCAATACGATCCCAGATATTAGTTATAGAATCTGACATTGGATTGCTACATTTGCTTTCATTGTAGCTGTAATATATATAGCAGTTACATTCTCATTTATTTCCTTTCCTCTTATTTTATTTTTATTTTCATATACATTCCTATAATTAGGGGTGTTTGGTTTGAGTACCCTGCATTTTTTTAAGGAACTAGAACCGGAATCGACAATTCCGATTCCTAGGTACCCAGAATTGGATCCTGTAACAATGGTTTTGGTTCCGGTTCCAGATTTGGGTACCCTATAAAATTACATGATCCCTCATTTTTAAAATGGCAAAAAAACCCTTAAAAACTTACAAATACCCCCCTAACTTGGCACTTGTTAACAAAAATAAAATTATAAATTCAAAATTACAAACCATTACTTTGTAAAGATAGATTCTCAAAAGTCAAACTAACTTACTTTAAATGTTATGAAATATAAATATAAATATAAATGTATTCATATTACTTTTTCTAAAAAAGTTTTTATTAACCCTCTTTACTCTTTAATTTTATTTTATATTAGTCTCAGTTTCGGGTTCTGGTTCTGGTTCTTAACTATAAGAACCGGAATCGGAACCGCATAGTAACGGTTCCAAAAATTTAGAACCGGAACCTATCCATTGACGACCGATTCCTGGTAAGAAGCAGAACCAAAACCCTAGGTACCCGCCGGTTTCGGTTCCAATCGATTATTTTGAACACGAATGGATTAGCTGTGAGAATTATTTGATGAACATCTCGGTATATAAATTGGACAATAGTGTAATGACTGTTTTCTACTCGTATTCTCATAAAATATGCATAGTAAAATACATGTAAAATAGCATAAAAGTTGGGCCCAAATTTTTTACTAAACATATACATTCTTTATACAAAAGCTATATCATGTACAAAAACATTAAAAGCAGGGTGGACAGTGTAGTCATTTCCCTTCGCTTGCCGACGCCTATCCGATTGTGTCCTCACCTAGGTCCTGCAGAAACATAGAAAACATCAGGGTGAGCACAACTAAGGCTCAGTAAGTAAATCCTTTACTCATCTATCCCCGTAACTCTCTCTCTGATTCTTTCCTTACAATTCTCGTTTACTCTCTCTTTTATAATCTTTCTGTTTTCTCTTTCTCGTAACTCTTTTCTACCAACTCTCTTTAGTAAGTCAAGGCCCCATCTGACCGGAGGCATGGCTGGGACGCACTCCTACTCTATGTGACTTGTACTCATTCTAGCCGATCGGACTCGATATAATCACATGAAAACCATGAAAGCCAGTTGCTAAGGAAAAGGTAGAACCATAAATACTATACGAAATAGTGGAGGGTGCTTGATAATATTCCATTCCTTGAAAGCCAGTGAATACTAGAGCCAGTAAAACGGTAGCTACTAAAGCATAAACAACTCGTTTTTCCTTCCCCGCGAGTATAGCATGATGAGCCCAAGTTACGGCAGCTCCGGATGAAAGGAGAATAGGGGTATTAAGAAAAGGGATTTCCCAAGGATCTAAAACCCCAATCCCTTTTGGGGGCCAAATACCTCCGATCTCTACCATAGGTGCCAAAGAAGAATGAGAAGAAGCCCAAAAAAGAGCAAAAAGAAACATAACCTCCGATACGATGAACAAAATAGAACCGTATCGAAGTCCTAATTGTATGACTTTGGTATGATGTCCTTCAAATGTGGATTCACGTAGAACATCGCGCCACCATACGAACATGGTATATAGGATAAATATGTACATGGATTCGGAACCTTTGGCCATGTGAGTATATAAACTATCTCTCGGGTACTCTCAAGTATAGCCCTCATCCGCATGCACTCTCACGGGCTACACCACTTCTCTCTCTTATACTCATGCCGCTCTCTCAATGCGGCGTACATGCGGGAATACTCTACCCTTACTCACAGGTTCCCCATCGCACAACCTACTCTATTATCTTGATTAGCACTACTTTCTCTTTGTTCTCTAGTGCTCAATTCCTCTCTCTCTATTCTTAGAGTAGCTCAAACTCAATTTCTCTACTCTTTCTCTATTCTCTTTCTCTAATGCATAATTAATGCATATTTAATACATATTGATGACTCATGCTCATTAATGCACTTATGAGATGCAATTATGCTATGTAGCAAAAATCAAGGCTTTCTAATCTTACTCATGCTTCTCTTGAGCATTTCATCATACAACTTATGTGCCTATGAAGCTCTACTTTAGCAATAACTTTTCTCTTCTTTTTAATCATCCAAAATGGGAGATAAACTCCCTCATACACTCTAAATCCCTGTCAAAGGAAAACACTTCTATAAAGTTTACTCAAATCTTCCTTCAACTTCAATCAAAACTCACTCAACATCATAAAATCTTAACACTTCTCATAAAGGAAATACTTCCAACAATTCAACATGAATACTCATCTCAATTAAATTCATCAACAAGCATAATACAAACTCATAGATGCATATATCTCTAATCAATTTCTACTCAAAAACTTATTCAAATCTCAACTTGGTTGAATTTACTTACCTTGTGAAAAAAGTGACTTCTCTAGCACTTTTCCTTTCCCTTGTTGTCTTGCCTTCTCTCTACAACTACAAACAACAACAATAGCAACAACAACCATATAAGACTTCAATATAACTATAAGCAAACTCACATCTAAAGCAAGAATCCTTACCTTATGATACTTTAGATGATATTTCTACTCAAAATTACTCAAAAGCTCTCTTACATCCCTTAGAAATCTTGGAACAATTGAAAGCAAAATGGAGAGAATTGAGAGAATGGATATGGCGGTGGAGAAGAATGAAATGAAGGGTTTATTACACTTAGCCCTTTTTAGTTCATGAGAAAATCAACACTTCCCAACTTTGCCCTTGATCTTCTTTGAAAATTCCATCTATATCCTTTGATTCATTACACTCACACCCCCATACTAACCCAATCTCCATAAAATTTCCTTACATTTTACTCCACACTTTTCCTGCTAATTAGGGGTAGAATGGTCATTTAACCCTTATGGAAAAATATCTAGAACTCTCAATACACATTTTAGTTGGCTCGTCGCCGCGGTGAAGAAACTTCCGTCACCCCGGCGAAGAAAGACAGAGCTTACACCGCCTTACTCAAAGCCAACTTCGCCGCGACGAAGACTGCAAATCTAAAATTCCTCAAATCTCAATCAATTTCAAGGCAAACACTCAACCAACTAAACATACAAACTCAATTAAAGCTGAATCAATAAACATTTAAGCAAAATAGCAAATTTTAAGTACGTACTTCAAGTGGGGTGTTACAAATAGTCAATAGATATGTACACGAATGGATTAGCTATGAGAATTATTTGATTGTTGTGCGAATAATTATTAAATTTTAGAAACTTGTATATATTGTATCAAAATTATTCTCATATATTGTTAGTAAATGCTTTTGGAATGTTTGGTGTAGTATGACTATATACTCGAAGAGGAGAAGAGGGTTTATGACATCATAAGCTATGAAAAAAATTAATACCCCCGTAGTTTAAAGTTTAGGTTTTTGAAATCTTTTTTCACAATTGTGAAATATTAAAGATAGGCCAATACTATTGATGTAGTATTGTTTTATCTTATATACAGCAAACACTTTTTGATAAATAAAGATTTATTTCATATACACTCTTGTAAGATTGATTAAAATTATACTCATTTGTTTTGTTAAAAGAGAACTAAAAACATTGTGTCGTTAATAATATGTTTAGATTCTATCCAAATTTAAATTCAAAAGTCAATTTTACCCCTCCCAACATTTTTTATTCCTCATTAATTTTATAAATCATTTAAAAACTATTAAAATACTAGAATAGTTTTTACATAATTCATTATTCATTTATCAATTTAATTTTAATTATTTTGGAGAAAAAATCTTATTACCAAAATATCGTTATTCTAATTTGACTTAGTTATAATCATTTTAAGACTGTTGTAAATTTTTAACCTTTGTTTATATCATAACAAAAATTTCAAAACATTTGACTTCAAAAAATTGTTTTAAATAAACATTTAACTTTGTATATTTTATTAAATTCATTTATCTTAACCAAATTCCTTTTTTTATTTGAAATATTTTTTATTCTATTTTTCATATTAGATCTTTGTTTCATTTTGTTACGCAATATGTGTAACTGTGAAAAGTAAAATGTTAAGTTCAAGTTGATTTTGTGGATTTAAAGAATAAAGGATTTAAGATATTTACTTAAGTTGGTTAGTGATGGGAAGGGCAAAAGAGAAGGGTAAAACAGACTTTTTGATTAATATCATTTGCCAAGTTAACAGATAAAGGGCATAATGGTCTTTTTATAACTTTCCCTTCTCTTTGCTCCCATTGCTCTTATCAAATGAGAAATGATACAGTCATCAGAAAAGGGATGCCAAATTCATGCTTTGGTAGATGTGGCATTATGACGACCGTTGATTAATTATAAATTTTATTTTTAAAAAAAGCGAATGGTGCCACATCTGTTCTTGCATGAATTCGGTTAATGATTAATTTGATTTTGTTTTTCCTTTTTTATTCTTTCATTTTGCCTCGGAATTTTCTCTCTCTCTAAATTTCTTCTGCACTCTCTACATTTTCTTCAGGAAATTCCATGTCTAAATTTCTTCCACACAAACAATTTAATTCAAGAACAATATAATATTATATTTTGCAGAAACAATTTACTCAAACTAAATCAATTTGATCTCTCTTCTTTGTCTCCCCTCTGTTCCTCAATCTTCTTCTTTTGCGGTTGCTCTTCTCTAACAATCCACAAATATCTTTTTGATTTCTAGATCTAAGAATTAAAATGGTAAAGCATTAGTTACAGGCTTTGGCCAGGGTGGTTGGCCGCGACCGGAGACGCATAGATGTGCCTCTTGGTCCTGGTGATGATCCGTGCCAGGGGTGAACTTATCCATTGGGTGAAGCAAATGTGTGCTGGGAAACCATTTTGGGAACCAACTTTTGGGATATTTTGTAAATAGTTTCCGGCAATGAGATTGCTTTCTTGTTTTTGTAATGGGATTCGAGTAAACCGCTGACTTGGGTTTGCTTTGTGGCGGATTCTGGAAAATTTGTGGTGGATAATGGTGGGTTGTGGTAGATTTGTTGCGGATTATGGCGGATTACGGTGGATTGTGGCGCTGTCATGCCTTGTGCCTTTAGCCATGGTGCTAGGGTTTCATCTAAGAAGATGAAGAAACCCAGATCACAGGGTTGTGTTTATCAGGTTTTAAAATCTGCAAAGTGATAACAGGGGTGTATTTATCAAGTTTTCTAACCTGCAGGATCTTGATGACATTAATAGTTTGATCGGAATTTTTTTTTTTTTTTTTTTTGTATAAACCTTAATTTAATTTGAATTTTCAGAATAGTATAAGGGCAACAAAGTCATTTACCATATTCAAGTTGGCAGGAGTGTTTTTAATAGTTTTCAATAATCTATGTGTCGCTTGATACTTTCCGATCTCTTAATGGGGTGGATGATATTAATTCTGATAAAACGTTTGAGCCAGATCATTGAGCAAAGCTACGTACTGGTTCTTGATTCACTTTTTGATGTATAACTATTTCCTTTGATTAGTGACAATTCAATATAAATCAAGTGCAGTGATTTAGTCAACTTAAATTTAGTTTTATATTAACTTCTCATACTTAAATATTTCTAATTTAACTATTAATTGTGATGTTATAAACTACCTCTATATAGTTTTATTGTGAAAGACAATTATTCGAATTTTCGTTCCAGTGACCATGTCATATTGAATAAAGAAGGAATCATATGAATAGTATAAGCTTTATTTTTACTCCAATTAACAAAATATTGTCATGACTTCAATTCTTTTTAACTACAACTATTTTGAAATGGTATTCTATTATATCTATTTCACTGGATTTGGGATTTGATTCTATAATTCTCTTCAACTTTTTGATCTTGTCATTTCACTTGAAAAATCCATACTCCTAAAACTAAATATTTGTTGTGTGTTAATTAGCTATTGGAAAAAATTCTGTTTAATTTTCATTTCTAACAGATACTTAAAACTCTTTGAACGTGGAAGGCAATGGTATAGTCTAAATGGGGAAGCCGTAATTATAAAATTTTTAGACTATATATGTTTGACCTCGAATGAGGAATTCCTAGAGTTATATTTTGCAGAGTTCAACTTCAGAAGTTATTGTGTAGTAAGAGAAGTGAGCATAATTGTTTTATTGTATTTGAAGATTTTCGTTTGCGTTCTATCACCAAATGTTGTGACGACTTTTTGTTGTTGGCTAATTCCTACATTTGTAATATATATTGAAGATTTTTGCCTAAGCTTTCCGAAATATTTAGAGAGATGAAGACTTCTGTTAATTAAAGCCTTTTGCAACATTTTACCATAGTGATGTGAGACCACTAACATTAATTAGGTTGTCACAGTTCACGACACTTTCTCAATTGTATAGTGAAGTGGGATTCTGTTCACTTTAAAAATAACATTCATGATGCCTGAGTTTAGTGATGTGACTTAATTGGGTTATTACAATTCAACATGCTTTTGACATCACCTTTCATGAAAACTTGATGAAATATCAACGGGTACATACAGCTAATTCCGACTTTGCATATTAAGTCTGTTGAGGTAAGTTCTACCATACAACACCATGAATATATCAAGCTTTATAATTGAAATTATATATAACATAAAAATAGATTAAAAAAAATGCAAAAATCGAAATCCCTAATTCCTAAACTTTTCACAAGT